AGGCGTTTGCCTATATTTCCTTCAATAAATTTGACTTGACTTGACTTGACTGACGCAACAGAGAAGGCTTCTGCGCAGCCAGCAATCTACTTTTGAGTTACGAGGCTCACACTTTGCCGTGAATTTAATCACACGTATGTACGGCATCTTTCTGAACCCATCAACTTCCGGAAAATAAGAGATAAGCAAAGAAGGATGTTCTTCAAAGCACATGACTACAGACACACCAAGTCGGTTCCGTACATTTTTTTTCCTTGGCATCCGTCCTAGACTTGCGGGTTTCATCACTGGCATCAAAGGAGAACCTGTGAACACGTGATTTGATTGACTAGTCGTATGATCACGAGCGCCGTCATCGCAAATATCCGCTGACTTAGAGATCGGCCTTAATTGCTAAATCTGCGAAAGTTAGGCAAAATGTTTGGTTGACATCTCTTTAGTGGCTTCAGTTTACCTGGGCAGTCAAGAGTTCAATAGAGAGGGAAGTTTTTTTTCCTCGGTTTAGCCAATTTTCTCGCAATCATTTAGGTGGACACCCAGACACCCTGAAACCTCCCTTAACGTTTACGTTTACCGCTTTATTTTCCAAATTTCGTTACTCAATATGGAAGTTTAATCCTATTCTGGCCAGACGATGTTTATACAAATACACGGGTTGTTTGACGTTGATTTCAAAAGCATTATTTTCTTTTTCCATTGACTTTCTTATGTTTTTGCTTCAATAACCTACCAACTGGCGTGAAATGCGATTTGGTGTCGGGTAAGTGTCCTAAATATGTGTTTGAATAAAAACAATGTTGCTTAAAGCCTATGTTAGAAGGCATTCTATCATCAGAAGAAAATACGTCTGATGAAGACATTTATGTATTTTACCTTTCCAAAACCATCAACCGCTGTAAAATCCACAAAAACCAATGGAAAACAACAGATCAGCGAAGAAGAGTGTTCTTCTAAGCACATGTCTCCAGACATTCACCTTCGGTTTCGAAATTATTTTCATTTCCGCGGCATCCGCCGTATACGAAGGATTTGCAGGCTCCATCCTTGGCATCAAAGTAGAACCGGGGTACGAATGCTCTGCACCATCCACCATCGACGGGCAGGTTGCAGATCTCGTTTGCTCCTACAGCATTAGAACATAAGATATATATACTGTTTTTTGCTTATGGTGAGTAATCATTATGTGAATAGACTACCAAAGTAAACGCTGCCAACAGAAGTTACATCGCTAGCACTGAAAAATGAGGTCGGGTTTGGAAAGAAGTCGGTACCACTTCCGTTGCACTATACGATTTGTTGTCATCTTTTCTTAATTTGGGAGCTAAAAACGTTTGAAATGGATGAGGGACAAATTTATGGGACCGTATCAATAGTGAATGTCCGTAAGTACTTCTGTCCTTGAACACGGAGTCAGTTGTGCATTCACATTATATGTTTATTATGCGGACATCCCACGAGCAAACAATTATAAAATTTGTGTTTTCTGTCCCCCAAGATAAACAAATGTTGACCGGGCTAGAAGTGCTATTTACAAAGCTTCCACTACCAAGAGTTTTAACGCAGGGTCTAGAAGGATAAAGCATATGCCGGAGGACATATTATTAATCTAGATACTGTTAAAATTGCTAATTCAAGTTTCCTAGCCGCCCACTTACGCATCCACAAGAAAAGAGAACGAGGATACTTACCAACAAAAGCTCTTTTCGCTTCTCCGATAGAAGAAAGTTCAGTCCGGAAAAAATTTTGTTTTGC